CATGCCTACAGAACAATTGCTCTGCTATCTTCCTCCATTATTCTGCACAAGTTTTACAATCTCAATATGACCATTTAATTGTGCAGCTTGCAAAGCAGTTTCATGTGTACTTCCTAGAATATTAGGATCTGCTTTGTTGTCCAGGAGAAGCTTCACAACTTCAACATGACCATTTGAACATGCATCTTGGAGAGCAGTTGTTCCATATTCCTCTTGGAAATTAGGATCCACTTTATTGTGCAGCAGAAGTTTTACAATCTCAAGATGGCCCTTTTCACATGCATATTGCAAAGCAGTTCTATCAAGGCCTCCTTGGAGATTGGGATCTGCTTTGTTGTCCAGCAGAAGCCTTGCAATCTCAACATGGCCATTTAAATATACATCTTGCAGAGCAGTTCTATAATAGCCTCCTTGGAGATTGGGATCTGCTTTGTTGTCTAACAGAAGCTTTACAATCTCAAGGTGACCTGCTTCGCATGCATATTGCAGAGCAGCTCTATAAATGCCTGCTTGGAGATTAGGATCTGCTTTGTTGTCTAGCAGAAGCCTCACCACCTCAACATGCCCATTAGAACATGCATCTTGCAGAGCAGTTTCAGATCTACTTCCTTGGATATTGGGATCTGCTTTGTTGTCCAGCAAGAGCTTTACAATCTCAAGATGGCCCTTGTCACATGCATATTGAAGAGCAGTTGGTCCATATTCCACTTCTTGGAGATTGGGATCTGCTTTGTTGGCCAGCAGGAGCTTCACAGTCTCAATATGGTCATTAGAACATGCAATTTGCAGTGCAGTCCCATATTTGCCTCCTTGGAGATTGGGATCTGCTTTGTTGTCCAGCAGAAGTTTCACAGTCTCAATATAGCCATTAGAACATGCGCCTTGCAGAGCAGTTCCATATTCTCCTCCTTGGATATTGGGATCTGCTTTGTTGTCCAGCAGAAGCTTCACAGTCTCAATATGGCCATTAGAACATGCAACTTGCAGAGCAGTTCCATATATGCCACCTAAAAGATTAGGATCTGCTTTGTTGTCCAGCAAAAGTTTCACAATCTCAACATAGCCATTAGAACATGCAACTTGCAGAGCAGTTCCATATATGCCTCCTACAAGATTAGGATCTGCTTTGTTGTCCAGCAAAAGTTTCACAATCTCAACATAGCCATTTGAACATGCATCTTGCAGAGCAATGTTTCCATATTCCACTCCTTTGAGATTGGGATCTGCTTTGTTGTCTAGCAGAAGCCTCACAATCTCAGCATAGCCATTTGAACATGCATCTTGTAGAGCAGTTTGTTCATATCCCATATCTTTGAGATTAGGATCTGCTTTGTTGTCCAGCATAAGCTTCACAATCTCAACATAGCCATTTGAACATGCATCTTGTAGAGCAGTCTTTCCATTTTTCACTCCTTTGAGATTGGGATCTGCTTTGTTGTCCAACAGAAGCTTCACAATCTCAACATAACCATTTGAACATGCATCTTGCAGAGCAGTGTTTCCATATTCCACTCCATTAAGGTTGGGATCTGCCCTGTGGTTCAGCAGAAGCTTCACAATCTCAGCATAGCCATTTGAACATGCATCTTGTAGAGCAGTTTTTCCATATTCCACTCCTTTGAGATTGGGATCTGCTTTATTGTCCAGTAGAAGCTTCACAATCTCAACATAGCCATTTGAACATGCACCTTGGAGAGCAGTCATTCCATATTCCCCTCCCTGAAGATTGGGATCTGCTTTGTTATCTAGCAGAAGCTTTACAATCTCAACATAGCCACTGGAGCATGCACCCTGTAGAGCAGTTCCATATCCAACTTTTTGGTCATTAGGATCTGCCTTGCTATCTAGAAGAATCTGGACTACATTTTCTAGTCCCAGGACAGCTGCGTAATAAAGTGGCTGAGTCATATCTTTAGACTGGAACGTATTGTCCCATGCATCTGATTTATACCCTTTAACACTATCATAATATTTGCCATTGTTTAGGAAACTAAAAGCCAGATGAAATGTTATTGGACTTAACAATGTCACTGCTTTTGTATGTCTAGCCCAAAACTTGGTAGCATAACTATTTAGAGTAAAACCAGTGGTGTTGATGGAGTTTTTACACCATAAAAGATAGGTCAAGCATATTTGAGCAATGCAATCATGAGCCAATTGGCTATTTATGTAGAAAATTGCAATGTCATGTGCCCTGATCTCTTGAGATAGTAAATAGTCTTTTACTGAAGGATGAGCTAACTGGACTGCCAAGATAGTTTCAGTTCTCCAACCTGAATGATCCAAGTCAATGACTGTGTCAGTTATGAAAACCAAAGTAGAGTCAACTATTTTATGCAGTTCTGTCCCAAGGTTAGTGGGACAGTTTTCAACTGAAAATGTACCATCTTCCAAATCAACTCCCAAAATATGCTCAATCTCTGTAATTTTTAATGGTCTAAATGAGAACACCAGCCACTGGAGGATATTTTTTGTATCATCCTTTTGATCAGGATCAATCTCTTTTAGGACTTTTGCATATGTCTCTTCCAGAGTTTTTGGCAATTTTCTCAAAGCTTGTTTGATTGCCTTTGGTGTGACAAGTTTCATTAAAGCTAATAACTGACAATCCACCCATCTGATTCTATGAAATATTAGCTTAGTATAAAATTGAGAATGATGATAATATACTTACTGGCCATGAGCACCACTTATCAGTACCTCCTTGATTTCATTTTTTAATTCAAGAGAGCTGGCTTTTCCTCCAACTTCAAATCCACATATTTTTCAATATCAGATTCAATGCCACTGGAACCAGTGTTTAAAGATATCTGACAAACATTCTCACCAGCAGAAATGCTAATATGGGGTCGGCTAGACACAAGTAGATGGCAACTAATATCATTTTTTGATAGTTCACTGATGAGTTGAAGAGCCTTTGATTGTTCTTCACACTCATCCAATGCATCAATGATAATATAGAAGGGGACTTCCACAGATCTGAGCAAACTGATAAGAGTGTCCTCCATCCTATCAGCTTTATAAATTTGGCCTTGGAGGGTACTGTTGTAGAGCTCTGCAAGCTCATATTCAGCATGTTTATTGTTTACTTTAATCAGTTCTGATGCCACCTGACAAAGCAAAGATGAAATAAGTCCAAGATATTTCGTTTTTTCCTTGTCACGGGTGTCAAAATAGTAGACAAACACTAAGCCATAATTTTCATGCAAGTGATTCAAAACATTGGTGCTGAAATCAAAAAATAGTCTTTGAAAGTTGTATGCATGTAAATTTTCAGAACTTACCACAAGAAGGTCTTTCCAGATCCAGCTAAGGAGCAATTATTAACATGTTATGTGACTCATTTGATCAAGGCAACTAACCTTTTCCTTCCAACCACAGAAGACTTCCATTCTGCTTCCATTCATTAAACACTTCATTCTGGAATAACCAGGTACCTGTTCCCTTTGAAATTTTATCATAGGCAGCATTGAAGTTTTCAAAGGGGTTTGGTGCTTTAATCCAATCTGAAGTACCAGTGCCAATTGCTGTAGCGTACATAGATTTATAAGAGTGTAAGTATTTTCCCATATATGCTCTTCACCTTGATAGTTATTCTAATTTCCAGCAACAACATTAATAGTGGTATTGTTAATGCTAAACATGGAGGCTTTATTGAACAAGCTACATAAGAAAGATATCAGTTTATCCATTATAAGTTGCATCGCACAGTTACCAACCTGACAGTAGATGCATGCAAGTCTGAATGATCCCCATCAGCTTGGTCTGTTCCATTCAACTCCTGGTTTGGAACACTGGCAAAATGGTAATATAAGGAGTAGGCAAATACAAAGTCTGCTCTTGAATCTCACCTGTTCCCAAAAGTCATGATGCCGAGTTACAAAGCAATGAAAATGTGGTCGTACGTAAAGTTGGTGATGAAGATACGATATGCAAACTTGGTCAGAGTCATGTGCATGTATGATCAATATAAGAGCTTTTAAAGTTTGAAAACGAGCTTTTAGGTTTGGGAACACATTTTAAAGTTTGAGAATCTGTAAAACTTAATTCTAGTACTGAATTGTTAGGGAGTGTAATGAGTTTCGGGCTCAGAAAACTTAGTTGATTGATAAAGGACAATAGAGATGCGGTGAAATCCAGGTAAGCTCGCGCGCTACAGAGGAAATCAGAGGATCTCAAGCACTCATTGAATTCAAAGGCATCAGCAGAGGTCAAGAATAGCACGTTGTAAAGGGTGCCGAAACTTACTATCAGTCAAGGTGTAAGAGGAAGAATGCAGATGTGTATTGCAAGGTAAGAAAGGCTCTCTTTACATTGTATTACTTAGCTACTTATATATGATACTGTAGTTGAGCTGGAATACTATAGAATGCTCATAGAAATAATTTAATACCCGAAACACCGCATTTGCAGGTGAGGTCGAAAGGGAGAATACTTACTAAGGGCTAAAAGCTATGATCCACCCATAGAGATAACCGCGCAGCATTGAGGTATCACAGTATAGAAGGGTAATGATATACTAACTCGGGATAAAGCAAACTAAAAAAGCTACCGAAAGTATACAACATCACTTTTAACCCACCCAGGATCAATGGGGATGATGCTAAATGGAGATGTCCTTGGAAGTCCAACGAGTGCAATTTTACTATTAGACAAGACCTTCATAAACTTGGCCTTGTAATTGTCTATGGACAACTGTCTGCTCTACTATACTTGACACAGACAGCAGTATAGCCACATGTAGACACTTCTCTGTATTTAAGTAGAAGGTAGCTCAAGCAAGTTCCCCAGCTTGACCTTAATACACTTTCTCAAGTCTTACTCCAAAAACTTGGTGTTGCTGAATTGATAGGGTGCAGATACCGCAGTTAACTGCTGCCTTGCAATACCATGATGAAGAAGGGCTCGGGGTGATGCTAAATGACATACTGATATCAACTCGAAGTAAAACCAACAAAAAAAAGGCATTGAAGCTGCTAAAAGTAAGTAAAGTCATTTTTAACCCCCGGCGGGACTCGAACCCGCAACCTCCAGATCCTATACAGTAGAAGTCTGACGTCATAACCATTAGACAACGGGGGCACATTGACAACGACGATAATTTGTTAGAAGGCTTACCATTTTGTACTAGAAGTGATCTAAGTAATGTCGCTATAGAAGAATTCTTCCAATTCTTTGGCAACGGGTCCCAAATTTTGCGGAAATATTTTTGATATGCTAGACCTTTGTTTTAAGAGATTCCAAGAGGATCTAGGTAGTTGCCAGCTTGTGCCGACCAAAGGGATCCGTTTGGCAGGGAAGTGATCTACGTGACATGTGTGACACAAAATCCGCGTCCAGCCAAATCAGTCAGAGTTTGAAATTCTCTTCAGCACTAATTTTCCACTCCTCCGTCCTTGTACATTTTCGTTCTCGTTCATTTTTCACCACGAGAAGTGAAGTAAAAAATAAATATAATTCAGTTCAATATCATTATCAGCTGCTGAAACCATCCGGTCAATATTCGCTGTTTTAATGGCTGTCTGCCACGCTCGCGAACTTGAAAACATCGTTTTTGAGACCGGAACGGGCGTCGACATCCATCCTCAGCTCACATACAAATTCTGAGTAGACAATATTTTAAACGCACCGAATTACAGAAACAAACAGGGAAACGAAAAACTCTATCAATTTTGCATTTCCTGCGTGAAATATGAATGGATTTTCTTAAATGTTTCTTTGTCATAATCTTTAGGTCCTGTTCTTTAAGCTTTAAGTTTAAAAAAGGATTTGATAGAGAAATGAGAGGTGAAATTTTTAGACGAAAAACGCGTCAAAGCCGGGGAAGCGGTTTTGGCTGACCAAGGTCTCTGAGCAAAAATCCACTTGCACGGGCCAACTCAGGGACCTTGTAGACCCCCTCTATGCACCTCGAAGGGAGGGGTTTTACTTGGTTTGGGCCCGCTCCGAACAACTTTTTATTTTCGGTGAAAGGTTGTTGTGGGAAACTATTACCAAAAATGAAGCGTCGCACAAAAATAGTACTCTCGTCAAGTCTTTCAGAACAGCACAAGCGACAGCTTCCATCAGTTTCCTCCATAAAAGTCCAAAGATGACTACGTCTGAATCGCATGTCGTCCAACTGGATATCAGCGTCCTTTTCCTCCAATTCCTCTAGTTCGCATTCGCCTTCTGACCAGGCCTCACAACTACCCAGCAGGCCAGGCATAGCCACATTCATCTCTCTTGCTTCTACATTAGAACAAGACCTCCACGATGACGGCCCGTTTCTCTTCGACTTTGACTCGATTCCCTTCAACTACAGCACTCGATCCCAAGTCGCTTCCGGCGCCTCCTTTTCCGTAGAACGTGTCCAACTTGATCAGACTTGGTTAGAGTCTAAAGACAAGGACGATAAACCGCTACCACTATGGCACGACCCACTCCTTCCACCTCCAAAAACCAAAGCAGAATTCGCTCAAAGGACGACGGAATCGAGGATGCCGTGGAAGTGGTGGGGGAAGTATGTTGCGCTCAAGTTTGTGAAGAGGCGTGGTGAAGGAGATGGGGAAACGGAAAGACAATGGACTCAGCTCATCCTCGAACTACGTACTCTTCTGCATTCGCCTATACGGTATCACCCCAATATCGTTAGGTTCCTAGGGTTGACGTGGGATCCTTCACTCGGGACATCCACGCAAAGCCATTTCCCCGCGTTTATACTCGAGCTTTCGGAGTTGGGTACTTTGGCGCAGTTTCAGGTGAACAGGGAGGGGGAGATGGAGATGGAACTGAAAATGCTACTAGGACATGACGTAGCCAAAGGCCTAAGCATCCTACACGCCTGTGGAATCGTTCATGGAGATTTGAAGCACGAAAATGTGTTGGTTTTTCCGCATTATGGTCGGCGTCGTCGCAGCAGAACTGGGGAGGAAATCAAGTTTATAGCCAAAGTAGCCGACTTTGGTGGGTCAGTTATGGATCTTCAGCCTGAAGAGGACGGAGACACAACAAGGAAACAGTACAGACTACACACAATCACGCCACCCTACGACGCACCGGAGACTCGAGATCATGCCCTACTCTTGTCGGCGGAAACGGTGAAGAAGACGGATGTATATTCGTTGGGGCTTTTGGTTTGGAGGGTTATGCTTGACGGGAGAAATCCGTTCGATTACTTGGGTGCAGTGACGGATACGCAGATTTGTGCGTTGAAAGAGTCAGGGGAGGTACTGGTCAGTGGTCAGGGCGAAGGAAAGCATTAGGAAGTATCTCGGAATTGGATACGCAGACGAATTGGATCTCGTCGACTACGCCTTTGATCATACTATTCAAGCCGAACCCGTGAAGAGAGATTTGGTTCAGGCCGTTGCGGCTCTTGAGGTAGAGAGGTGAGTACTCCAATCTAGTTCTCACTTGGAGTTGCTGACCTGCTGTATTTAGGCTATCAGACATCCAGCTCCTCCTGAATGAAGTAGCGGAGAAAAATGCTGAACGTGATGAACAACAGCGAAATACGGCTCCAGTATGCCCATGGCATTTGTGATTATTGATCATAATCACTGACCACCTACATATCAGGGCGCACATGGAATAACATCCGAATCCATCACTCTATTCCTTGCTAGGTTTAACAAACGTGGTGGAACGTATGACTACCAAGAAGAAGGGTGTGTAACTTCCTGTTGTATCGAACTCGACATCTGACTTTTTTCTTTTGTTACCATTAGACCCGGGGCAAGACCACATCTATCTCCACCGCCAAGAGTTGACAAGGTACGTGTACCTATCAGACCTAACTTGCTGTGCCGACTTACCCCATCGCATAGTTTGTTTTCAGCCCCCAAAAGCTCAAATCCATCCTTCCCTGGTCAGACCGATTTACGCTATTTCAAGACCTCGAGCGTATCGCTGCTACTCCTTCCGAAACCAAAACTACTATATACCTTTCTTCCAGCACCGCCTCCTTCTACCTCTTCCAATGCTACATGCATGAGCTCGGTACATCTTTCAACCCAGACCATGCATGTCTTTGTTTACGACAAGCCGCTCTTTCCTCCTCTCCCTCTTACGAGACGTATCTCGCACAATCCTGGTGTCCACGCGTTCACCTCGCTCTGCACGCCTCCTTCAACTTTGAACACCCTATTATTGCTCAATGGTTGGTGTATTCGATTATACGTGGATACCGGGGATGCATTCGAGATCTCAATTCCATTACACGAGTCTCAGACGATACACGGGTGAAAAATGCTTTTTTGGACGGAAGGAATATTGGAGTGAAAGGTCTCAACACTATCGGCTCAGGTCTAGGCGCGCGGTGGTTCATGCCAGGAAGCCTTGAAGAAGAGTGGATGTATCACCTCGACGACCTCGATAACTTGCCCAAATCCATCATGTCCCATAAATACCCCCAGACTCAACGGACTCACGGGAGCAAAGTAGACAGTATCTCAGTCAACAAATGGGGACACGGCTTGATCCACCTCGCTGCTGCGATGGGGGAATATCCTGCGCTCAGGGTGTTGGTAGAGGTGTTTAAAGCGGATGTAAACCTGAGGTGTCGGTTTAATGACGATACACCTCTGTTGTGTGCGTCTAGAGGTGGACATACGGATTGTGTATTGTATCTTCTCGACAAAGGAGCGGAACCTGATGGGTCCCCGTACGCATCTGAAACACCTCTGTACTGGTTGTGTGCTTTCAAACCAACACTGGAGGATATGCTCGAAGTTGGGAAACGTCTAGTCAGGGCTGGAGCATCGTTGAAGAATAGCAATCGGCCTGTGAGGATCCCAAAGAGGAATCAGAGGTCCGAAGCAGACTATGAGGATCTCTTTCTTCTACCCGTGTCTCCGCTCTCGAGAGCGGTAATGATGGAGTCTGAAGACGCAGTTACTGTGTTGCTCAATCTCGGTGCAGATCCTTTGGAAGCGTACGAGGCGAGGTCGAGTGAGCAGTCAAGTATATGTCCGGTGGTGCTTGCTAGTGTCCTGGGATATTCAGAGACACTCAAAATGTTGCTGGAACATTTGGACGAGACGGAGGAAGGAAGAAATAAAGTACTGTTTGATGAAGCAGAGGCGTTGTACCTTGCTTTGGACTGCCAAGTCACTATCCATGACCCCACATCTCTGGAAAGTCGGATAACGAGGCGGAGTATAGCTGCGAATTCGCAGATGAGGGATACTCTGAGGATGCTCCATGATAGACATGAGAGATTCAAGACTTCTGGATACGTATGTACAGAAAAGGAGAATTACTATAAACAAGTTATTCTCGCGCTACTGGTCGCACTCGAGCGCAAGGAGATGGCAGAGATGCTCTTGGATATGGGATACGATCCTCATGGAATTCCAGAAGCTTGTCCCGTCGTTGAAGCCGTCAAACTCAACCATGAGCCTCTATATCGGCTCCTACTTGGGCATGGCGCGGATCCAAAGACCAAGATTGTATCTGAAGACGTGGAGTATGACTTGTTGCAGATCTTGGCGGAGAACAAGATAGTCTATGGCAGACCAGGGTTGTTTATCGCTGAGCACTTGATTGGCTCCGGTGTTCCTGTTGACTGTCCTCAGGATCCTCGTGGTATATCACGCTCTGCGTTCGTCTCTGCGGTGATCAACCAGGATTTCGAGCTTGCAGATTGTCTTTTACGCCATGGGGCCAATGTGGATTTTCAGTTTGCCTTTCCAGAAGTGACTATTAGCGGATACAAAGTCTCTGTGCTGTCCTATCTCATACACCATCCAACGGAGCGAAGCCTCGAGTCGGTCCGTTACCTCCTCAGTATCCCAGATCGTATACCCGGCACCACACCACCGTCTTTCATCCCATCCCAAGAAAACAAATCCTCCATCCTACACCATGCTGCTCTTACGCATACCCGTACAGACACAGAAAAACGCTGTTTAGGACTAATGGTTCGCGCCATCTTATCCTATCTAGAATCCACCGCCTCTCAATCATCCTCATCTTCATCTTCGTCGTTAATCGACTATCACATACCCAACACGGTCGAGGTCCAGCCAGCGTTATTTCTGGCTGTCGTCACGCTCAATTTGGAAGTAGTCGAAGAACTGGTAGAGAGCGGAGCGAATATT